CACATCGACCTGAGTTGTGCATCTAATGTAAATGAATGAATGAAAGCTTTGACTTAAACAACCTTGAGGTGTATTAAAGCAGTAAGCCAGGAGGCTGTGTATTTTAGGTTTATTTAGAATACATTTTTATTTATTATTATTAGTTTATCATTAATATTTTTAACTTAGCTTATTTTTAAATTAGTTATTTTATTATTAATTGTTTTTGTATTTATATTTTTAAATTGTGTATTTTGTAAATGTTTTTGTTTTTAATTTTCATTTGTATTTATTTATTTATTTATTTTTGTTTTATTTATTTAGATGCACATTAACATCATAGTTAATATTATATTATATTGACGTTTTTCTTTATAACTGATAAATATTATAGCTGCTAAATGAAAGATATGAATAAACTATAAATGGCAGAATTTTTAAATATTTTATTTTTCATTAGAGCTAATGGATAGCATGTAGATGAATGGATAAAATCGATATGATAAAATGTTTTAATATTAAATCGGTAGTTTTAATTTTAACTACTACAATTAGGCATTACAGTATATCATTAAGACTGGATAAATAAAATATGAACAATTCCATATTACCAAAAAAGTTATACTGAAAAATAGTTGCTGGGGCCCACTGACATCCATAAAAATCCATTAAATGATTTATTTACCTGGCTGTACCATAACCACCCCTTTGTGCTATTACCTTTGTCTCTCTTCCCATCAGGCTATTGTTTGGCATCCTGTTCACCTCTATTCACACTCCATGGGCAAATACAACCAACAATCAGTGTTGATTTTTGTAGTATAGTTGTCAAAGCTTTTATGAGCAGAGCAGTCCACTGTACAAGATCAGTGCTGATATTTAATCTGGGCTTTACTGTACTCTACTGCGGGATCGCCATCCAAAGTTTATGAGCTAAAGCCATTCTTTTAATATCTTGATTTTGGCTGTGCAAAATCTTGCCTGATATTTGTGTATGTCTATTATGGGGTTTGACGCGCTCATTCTAGCTCTGTGTTTAATTAAAACGTCCCTGTGTGAACAAGAGGAGCTGTTGGCCACTGAACGCTCAGATCTTAAGAAGCAGAAATTTGCCAAGAACCGTAGGTTCAAGCAAGCCATTGTTCGAGGACAATTAGGACCAATTAAAATAACCCGATTTGCCAGAAAGCATTTACAACAGCTTTTTTTTGTTGCTCTCCTCATCCTCTTTGCTTGTTTTCCCGAGTCCAACATAGCAGATGGTGTCCGCTAGAAGCTACTTTCTCCTTTTAAATATTTTGGCCGTGTTTGTGAGACTTCGAATTTCTCTGATGGCTTTAGTAAAACATTGATTGACCAACTGTACGTGTTTGTGTTGATTGGTGTGTGCCTCCTAGTGGTGGAACCCGTAATGCCTCAATTCTGCTGTCAAAACCTTATATCACAGCTCTCCAAAGCAAAAGCTGTGTTCTATTTGCTCGAGTGTTTCCAATTAGCTATCTTAAGAGTTTACTTGGACTTAAGTAGTTGTGTAATGTGTTGACCTGCGCAACCGCAATTCATGTCGCTCTTTATGTAAGAGCTGGGGGCTGCTATTGTGGGGGTTTGGGATTTTTCTGTAATGAATAAAGCTTTATTTTGATAAAGAATTTAATAAAGTTGTGCAGCCCTGAAGGTGTGTCGTTAAATCATAATGCAATATTTGGCCCCGTTGACTGTCTGATGTGTTGTCGAGGTGCAATATTAATGACCAGCCCTAGAGTCGAAACACAATTACCCAAAGTTGTTAAATGGTTTTTAATTAGATTTTAAGATTTTAATTACTTTCAATAACAAATGCACGTCCGTGTTTCTACACTCTGAAGCCACTTCGGGCTGTTTGATCTGTAAAACAATAATCCCAATTCGGCCATTATTATTTTAACAATATCTTTTCGGGAAAGTCTTTGCTGGCAAGTTTGGTTTGGGCTTTATAATAACCTTTTTATGACCCTTTTAAAAGCATTTAATGTTCTTTGTTATTACAGATTATTGTATTATTATTATTGATGATTCACTCCCATGACACCAACGTTCGGAACTGTTCAAAATCCAACTGTTGCAATATCCCTGCGCAGGCTGCAGCCCTGGGGCAGTGCTATAATGGCCGGTTAAGCACAGGACCGGGGGGCTGGCAGATTAACCATGGAGTGAGCAAACCTGCAGGACTTCCTGCTTTATGGCAGCTTCTCCATGGAGCTGTGCTCGTTAACACTCATCCCGCTCTGTACGGCATATGGAGACCCATCTCTCCCCCTGCGTGCTTCATCTCATAAACGCCAATCCCTGCTGTAGCCACAAAGATAAAGCACATCTGTTAGGAAGTGAGTGAAGGCGGAGTTGTGAAGTGGTGTGTGTGTGTGTGTGTGTGTGTGTGTTTAGTTTTTTCTAAATTGTGTTTGAGGTCAATACAGCCTGACCGATCAGGTTTAAAGATGAATCTAATGGGTTGCTTGAGCTCATGGAGAGATTCAGCATTCCCTGCTGGATTGATCAGCATGTGTTTGGTTTCGGATGCTGGTAATTAGCATGAGATTGTGTCAGATGATGTTTTGGTGTCACTAGCGGGGTTGATTGATTAGATCAACCAGCAAGACAACTTTGGTTTTCTATTTTTATCAAAAAAGTCACAGTAGTTCTTTCTAATTCTCTTTCTCTTTATTAGCCATTTTGCTGAAATCTCTGTGTTTGTTCTTTTATGACAAAATCTGAAACTTTGTTTTTGCAGCAGTACTTTTCAAGTTACTTTGCTTTAGTAAATTAACAAAATGTAAATAAACAGTTGTAAATATGTAATTAAACTTTTGAAACTTATTGTCATTAAAAAATATAAAATAACTGGTCCATTAGGTTCTAAAATCAGCCAATCTTTCTTTCGTGGCCAATGGATGTCATCCGTATATAGGTGAGGTAAAAAGTTGATCATGCATCAATTCTGAGATTTTCAAAATGAATTGTTGTTATTCTGTCTTGATTCTCGATTTTGAGCTTAGTTTATAAGAGCAGATAGAGCCCTATGCCTTTACCTCTGCATTTAACCACTCAAATGCACATGTGGATAAGTCCTTGCGTTTGGTTGAGTCATGTAAGTTGGCTTTTATATCACAAGATTTATGCAAGCACTTACTATGAACACTCTTGTAGTGTTTCCAACTTTATTAAGGACTATTTTAGGTTTAAGTCAGATTTGTATGACTTAACAGCAGAATAAGAAGAGTATGACTGTTTGTAAAACATTTAGCACCATCTGCTGTTAAAATGTAAACTGTAAAAAATCTGCTAATTAACAGGTTGTATTTTGTCTTTTGTCTTTTTTTTCCCGTTTATTTTAAATTATGAATTGCATTATGGGAACTTTATCTCTGCTATTTTGCCTTTTGATGTTGAAAATTCAATTGTGCAGTTTAGTTGCAGTTTAAGTTAAGTTTATTGACATTTTAGTAGTTTGAAATTAGAGCTTCACAAGTACAAATACAGTTTCACAAGATAATTTGATTAGCTCCATTTGATGGTTTTCTAATGAAGTCTAACAGTATTCAGATACAGAAATTGAATAGTCACAATGCAAAAATGCTTTTCTTTCTTAGTATTGTCTTGTTTCTATAATCCAAATATCATAAGATTCTTAAAGCAAATAGAAATGTTTAGTTTTTACCATCAGAAGAAATGAAACAAGCCAAATTATCTGCTAGTGGGGTAAGTGAAATAATAATGTTTTCACTTTGAGATGTAGTTACTTGGACTAGAAACAAAACAACAATTTGAAGTAAAAAAAAACTGTTCTGTACATTCTGCATTTGTTCTGTAATTCTGTACAAATGCAGTAATCATTATAATTCTGTAGCTCATCATGGTCAACTACAATTCAGACTCAACATTGCATGTCTTTGCGATGTGATTATTGTGGATGCTCACATTGCAATATCGATGCTGAAACTATATATTGTGCATCCCTATTTAAAATATATATTGTATGAGAAATTATATATATATATATATATATATATATATATATATATATATATATATATATATATATATATATAGTCTGTTTTTTAACTTTTTAACATCAAAAGTTTGATTAAATATCATGTAATGCAATTCAACAGTAGAAATAAATAAATGAATAAATAAATACATAAAACACCAATTACAAAATATAGTAATATAAATATAAATAAATAATTTAATGATACTTTTTTTTACAATGTAAAGTCTGAATCGAATCAAGAGAAAGAATAGTAATGCATTTAAAAGAGATGCAAAGTCAATTTCTCAAATTATTGTCCTCCAAATTTTAAGTTAGTGGGGTCCAACACTTGTTATGACTACAGTATTGTTTGTGTTTAGTAAAATGATGTACACAATTTTTTGATAGCTTTTGCAGGGTGCCAAAAGATTTTTTATTATTAAAAGCTGGTCTTTTCAGCATCGCGGACTATTTGGACATTTAAATTTAAACTTAAAATAAAAAGATATATTTGTATATTATATAACTTTAGCCATTTTCATCCAGTTTTAGTTAAAAGGGTACATACATTATGATCTTCAACTATTCAAAGTCTTCATCTGCAGGAGTGAACACATGGAATTGAAAGGAGAGCCACTAGGATCAAAGTTTCTTGGCAAGAGTTTTGCTATTTCCTCTAATCATTTTTCTCCAAGTGGTCCGTCTCCTCTTCCTGTATTGTCTCCGCTGTAACCCAGGGCAGAATGTGACTGTTCAAAGACTTCTTCATCAAAGCTAAAGTTCTGCTTTTTCAAATTTTTGATGGACATTTGATGGTCAATTATATTAAATAATTGATCTTCATGACTCCTGCTGGTATACAAACATTTGATAATGTTGTTAGTTAACAGACTCCACTTTACTAACAGAGGGTATGCCTGTTTATATTGTGTCAGCAGTGGGTTAAACTTTCCATGCTGTGCAGTTGGTACTTTGCTTAGGGTCTGATAAGCTTTTTTTGCTTTTGTTTATATTTGCAATTTATTGCATGTGGATTTTGGGTTCTCCCTTGCACAGACACAGCAGTTTTTATTTCACAGGCCCTCATTTCTATGTTGTCCCTTCCCTTCAACAGAACATACACATAAAAACATTGGCTGATGACATGGTAAGGTGTCTGTTTCTTTTATTTTGTGTCTTTCTTTTTCTCTTATGTTTTTTTTCTTCTTTTTTTCCATCTTAACCCCGACTCTTAGAGTGTTGTTAAAGTGAAGTGATCGTCAAAAAGAGATCAAAGACAAAAAAAGACAAAGCAAAACTGTCTTTTTTTTTATCACCCAGTCATAATCAATCTAAAGTTCACTTCAGGTCAACAAAATAGAGTTCAAGCAGACACACGGCAACTTGATGAAATAGTTCATGATAAGTTCCCAGACCTTGTCTTCTTTTTAATTTGGTCTCTCTTTGAACACTTGCATTTTACAACGGAGTGTGTTTTGATTCTTTTAATTCATTTGTTTTGTTTTCATCCATATATGCATGTTTCTTCAGTGTTTTTTTAATGACAGACTAACAGAGACTGGTGCATGGCCTCTCTTCATTCACTCTAAGCCAGTAACCCGTGACTGGCAGAAGCCGTTCTCATCTCTTTCTAATTAGACAGAAACCTTAACTCGTCGTGTCTTGCTGTCTACTGTAGTGCAGAATCCTGTGTGTGATACTGTCTTTGTATTCATTATGACTGTAAAGTGAATGTTAAAAAAGGAAGGTGACAATGGTAATGTCACTCTTGCGATTTCTGCTGTGGAAAGGTAAAGTAAAAAGGGTGCAGGTGAGTCAAATGTCAACCCCTGAACTTTGTACTGTTCTGAAACTTTCTAATAAGTAACCAAACACCTCTGCGTTCACTTAAAATGACCCTTGTCAAATCAGAGTGCTTGTGAATTGTGTGGGTTAGCTTTGAAGATATTTATTTGCCACTTATCTACTGGTGTGCTAGTGTAATAAATGAACAGGTTTCAGATCATACATCTTACCAAAGTTGGGGACTGTAAGATGAAAAAAAGTTTTTGTAAATCTTTTAGATTCAGGCTGCTTTTTATTTGATAAAACCGATTTGGTCCCACTTCATATTAAGCAGCTCTAACTATGAATCAAAATATAAATACAATATACTTAATGTGTAGATAATGTATTGTAGAACACTTGTGCTATTGAGTTGCAATATGGGTTGGCTTAGGGAAGGCTTGGTGGTATGTGGGTTAAGTAAGTTAAAGGGTAAGTAATGGTCAACAGTGTAATTATAAATGTCTTTACAGAAATGAATTATAGATGTAATAACATGCAGGTATTGAATCTAGCGTAAGAACATTGTAAAATATGTATTTACACAGTAGGTACATTGTAATGAATTTCTAATTTGTCTTAATGCATATTAGTTAAGGCCACTTAATATGAAGTGAGACCAAAAAGGTAAAAATGTTTTTTATTTTTTTTATTTTATTTATTTTTTTTTTTGGGTTGCCAGTACTCAGATTTGTAGCATTTTCATATCATTCTAATATGCTGATTTGGCGGACAGCAAACAGTTAATTTGATCATTGGTCAAATTATTTTTTAAGGACTTTTTAATCAATATAAATGTAGTAAAATAATAATAAAAAGTAATAATAAAAAAGTGGTAACACATTAGTTTTTAAGTGAACAATAACTAATTTAAATTAATAAAATAAAAATAAATAAATCAAATTAATTAAATAATAAATAAAACTGTAATTTATATAACAATAAATGTAATTTTGTATTTTAACAAAGCATTCTTACTTAAAATGTTACCTAGTGAAGTATTTGTTGCTAACGAATGATATATTTTTATAAAGTGTTCCCAGAAAAACATAGCATTTTTTTTATTGAAAAGGTTTGATCACTGCAATGTATGCTTACTGAATTAAAAAAAGCTACATAAAATGAATTTTACTAATCTCAGATTTGAATGGTAGTGTAAATGCATTTCGAAAATGCTATTATTTCTGTTGACTGATATCTGTGTTTGAACTTAATTTTTACTTGATAACTTGATACTTTCAAATGCGAATGTTCTTCCTCCTGCAAACCACCACCATAATTAAAGCCTATTAGCTCATTTTATAAACTAGACAAAACTTTAACATTCCTCTCCTTAACTAATTGCACATAGGGCAGAACGCCACACTCATCCGGGTCAAAAAAATTAAACGTTTTTGTTTCAGAAGGCCTTGTACATTCTTAAAATTCCCACTGTCAGAAATACAATTGAAGTCAGAATTATTAACCCTTCTGTTATTAGAGAAGATATTTCAAGACATTTCTAAATATAATAGTTTTAATAACTCATTTCTAATAACAGATTTATTTTTACTTTGCCATTATGACAGTACATAATATTTTACTAGATATTTTTTCAAGATACTAGTATTCAGCTTAAAGTGTCATTTAAAGCCTTAACTAGCTTAGTTAGGTCAATTAGACAAGTCAGAGTTATTAGCAAATTATTGTTAAACAATGGTTTGTTCTATAGAATATAAAAAAAATTGCATATATATTTTTTTTATGAAAATTAAAAACTGCTTTTATTCTAGCTGAAATAAAACAAAATACAGAAGAAAAATAACAGTGTGAAAAATTCCAATTGAATTAAATTCAGTTAAATTTTTTTCCAAATAATTTTCTTTTTTTCATTTAAATTATTCAGATTTTGTAGTTGGGCTGTGCGATTTGATCGATCGAAATCACAATTAATTGAACATTTGAACATTCTAACTCTATTACGATTATTCTATTTTATGTTTTTACATAGTTCACTGGCAGGTTTTGTACAATAAATATGCTCACATGTTCAGATTTCTGAATGAATGATGCAGAATATTCTAGCAGAAATAAAACAAAAGACTTTCCAGAAGAAAAATAACAGTGTGAAAAATTCCAATTGAATTCAATTAAATTCAGCTATTGCTGTATTGGCATAACAAATGTTAGAAATGCATTGCTAAAGAATTTAGAAGGCTTACATAAAAAAGAACATATTTAATTAATAAGTATAAATAAAATATTTAATATATCATATATTATTCAATATATCACATTCATATATATATATATATATATATATATATATATATATATATATATATATATATGTATGTGTATGTGCATATTATATATATCAAAATAGATCAATATATTTAAATATTTAAAAAAGAAACAAAAAATTAGCAGGGGGGCTAATAATTTTGACTAACTGTATGTGCTGTGTTTATAAATTCAGACATCAGCACCTGTTAGTTTTTTTTAACTTTAACTTCACTGTGTCTCTGCAGCGGGACAGAATCACCAGTTTTCGAAAGCAAGGCATGAAGAAGGAGAAGCCTCTAATCCAGCACCCCACAGACCCCATCTCCACCCAGACCGAGCTGCCTGTGCCCCAGCCGTTCTTCGACGAGCGCTCCATGAACCTGTCAGAGAAGGAGATTGTCGACTTGTTTGAGAAGATGATGGTGAGTGTGTTTTCCCTACCCTGAGATCTGCACTCTGCCCCAGGCTCTATATGACCTCAGACGCCCTATATCACTGATTCATATCAAAAGCGTGGAGCTCATGTTAAGAGTGTCAATTAGGCTATCAAAACCTTACTTTTTGCCTCACACATTTGCCAGCCACATAAAATGAGTTTAGCTAGAATTTAGATCAAGCTTAATACTCCCAAGTCTTTTTTTTTTTGTTCAATATAAAAACGTTGATTGGAAATGAAGATCTACTATTCTGTTTTTCATTAAACATTTAAGAAAGCCCTTGTGGAAATGTTCATTTAATTGAATTGAACTGAATGCACATTTGTGGTGTACTTGAAATCTTCAATATATATTATTAAAAAGAAAAACTGGAGAAAATGCTTGCGGGAGTATAAATTTAATTCAGTATCATTCAAGTATGTTTGACCAAAACACATAAGTGTACTTAGAGAGAAGACACTTTCATTACTGTTTAACACACTTAAAGGGATAATAAGGTGCTTCATGTTTTAATGAAGGACACTTATTTAATGCTACTTTATAATATATTTGTAATCTTTCCAATAATTTGCTATTTAATACATTTAGGTACATCAGATTACCATAAATGCTTAGTAATACACCTTATCTATGGCCATATGACGTTTTTAAAATATATATTTTTTCTCAAATACCATTTTGTTTTTTCCAAATAATTTTCTTTATTTCATTTAAATTATTCAGATTTTGTAGTAGGGCTGTGTGATTTGGTCTAAAATCTAAATCACAATTAATTGAACATTTGAACATTCTAACTCTATTACGATTATTCTATTTTATATTTTTACATAGTTCACTGGCAGGGTTTGTAAAGTAAATGTGCTCACATGTTACATGTGAGAGATTTCTGAATGAAGGATGCATTAGTTCATTTTAAAATAATTGAAGAAAATGCACACTATCAACTATCTATGATTATTTATTGAACATCTGCGTTGAACAACTAAAATTAAAACACACATTGCCTAAAACTAAAGACTTTTTTTTCTTATAAAAAAGTGAAAATAAATATCTTTTACCTTTGGTAACAAAATGAATAATGTTCAAGGTTTTTCATATTAAAAGTAGAAAATAAGCATCTCTTCTAAACAAAATAACTCGTGTATATCCTGTAAATAATATTTTACCTGTATTTTTTATATTGCATCTTCTGTAAACAAATATTTGTTATAAATAATAATTTGAATGTAATGGAAAATATGCTGTTTCAAGGCATCTCTATAGAAGAATGGATCCATCGTCCTGCTTTAACAGAGATCAGATGTGGCCACAGAAGTATAAATTTGCCTCAGCCTTTAACAGAGTGGGGTGACGCGACTCCACATGCGCTAGGGAAAGTACTTGAAAAAAATCGTCCTGGACAAATTAGATCGATTATAAGTTTGAATGTAGATTCCCATTTCTTTCGTTTAATCGCTCATCCTTATTTTGTATTTTACATTTTCTGGAATCCATTTTTAATAAGAAATAATACCACAATTTATTAAATGTTTAACAATGATTACAGTTTTAGGAAACTTTTAAAAGGCCATATGATTTTTAAATATATGTTTTCTCCAAATTACAATTTATTTTTTCACCAAAAAAATCTGTTTTTTTAACGAATTTTTTACTATTTTTATTAAAAAATTTTCTGAAATCCATTTTAATAATAAAAAAAACCCTGCATTATTTGAAATGAAGACATGTATTCAATAAGAAAATAAACTAAATGTTTACCATTAATTACAATTTTTGTAAAATGTTTGTATAAATGTAAAATTCTGCTAATCAAAAGTTCATTAATAATTTTCTTGAATTTATATTTAAACTGAATTATACTTTGGTTTAAGTGCATTTACAAACCATTGCAAAATAGTTAGTATTAGCAAAATTGTTTTAATTAAAATATTTAGGTATACACTATCAAACAAAAGTTTTGGATCATTTTAATTTTAATTTTTATTATTCTGTTCATCAAGGTGCCATTAATTAAATGTAATTTTAATAATTGTTACATTTATTAAAATTTTAAATGACGGCTTTCTTATTGTATGTAGTTTCCAATAAAATGATTACTCCAGTCATTGCTTTTATCACTATTACCATAATACTACTACTATTACTACTACTACTACTACTACTACTACTACTACTACTACTATACTGATATTAAATAATAATAATGATAATAATTATTATTAGAATGATTTTTTGAAGGATCATGTGAATACATTTTCAGCTTCATTACTCCAGTCTACAGCCTTCAAACTAAAATCACTGGAATAAATAATCAAATTAAACGATGAACTACTTTTGAACAGTTATAGTGCAATAACATTTTACAATTTTTACTGTATTTTTGATAACAGGAGAAGCTTATGTTAAAACATTTAAAAATCCTACTGACCCCAAACTTTTAACTAGTAGTGTATATTATTTTCATAAATATGCTTTTTTTTTATTGTGGTTTGTATAATAATGTTTTCTACCTGAAATTAAAACCTAAGATCTGTAGTAAGCATAGCAATTTGTTCCCTCATATATTTACGTAATAATAGCAAACACAATCACGTTTACTATGCATATATACTCAAAGACACCTTATCTTTCCTCATCTCTCTTGCTGCTGTCAATCACAAGTGGAGAATTGGACTTGAGAGTTTTGCACTCTCTGCCGACAGGTTGCATTAACTGAGCCTTGGCTCGGCTTGACACTTGTTCGGTTCTCCCCTCTGGGAGAGAATATACATTAGCTGCCACTCTTTCATATGCATGACTCTTCTCGCTAATTCCGCCATTATGTGTGATATGTTGACAGCTGTCAATAGAGCTCCCGCCACATATGATAGAACAAGCTGCTGTAACAGATGGGGAAAAGCAGCGTATTGTTGTCTAAACAGTTTTATTTTACCGAATGCAGTTTTTCTTCCCTACCTGTGAAGTTTCAGCTCTGTTTATGTGTACAGAGGCACACACATTCCCCTCAATCCCCAAGACACCAAAACAAGGTTGCTGCATACACTGTCCTCAATTGAACTTGTTTTGGCCTAGACAAGTCAAAAAACAAAATCTGGCTGCAGAACAATGAAAGGATTATTTTCCAGACAAGAAAAATGTTTGCTTTGTATTAGTTTTTTTTTGGGGTCAGAGCTCTCCCCATCCTGCTTCTGTTGCAGCAGAGTCTGTCAGTGATGCTTTTTTCATTATTCGAACGTTTCTGTGGATTTACTGTCTGTAGATCGGAAACTCTGCCAATTTAGCGGCACCTGAGCAGAACGGCTCTTCAGTGCCCATTTTATGTACTTTAAACTGCCTCCCAGACTCCACAGCGAGTTGTACATCTGATCAGGTAGATATCGTACATATTGATAATTGACCTGTACTTGTGTCAAAGGCAAAAAGATTACTGGACTTCACGCTAGCACCATTCTTTGACTGATTTTTCAAAACAAACTGCGTTTATGTGTGGAAATGGATTGCTTACCCATTGTGTGATGCTTGCAATGGCAATATTTCTTTTTGCTTTGTAATCGGTAGGGTTGAGACATCAGTAATCTAATTATTTGCCTTAATCTGAATAATATAATAAAATGATTAAGGTGTTTGAGTTGCTTTTTGAATGTTTCTTTCATGATCCCGTTTTATATGTTGTAGGGCATGGTTTCAGTACCCAACCCTAGTAATCGTCGTTATAAAAGAAACCAATGAAAGATGAATTATTGATAAACAGATTTGGTATATAATTTGTAGGACAATGTGATTGTAACAAACTACAATTCACTACTATATAAATAGTTTGGTCAGTATTTTTTATTCTTATGCTCTAAATTGCTGCATTTTTTGACCTAAACATATACTAAAAATGTTAAATTATTTTAAAGAGGGATGGGATGGTGACGGTTAGTGCTGTCACCTCACAGCAAAAATGTCACTGGTTCGAGTCATGACTGGGCCAGTTAGCATTTCTGTGTGGAGTTTGCTTCTTCCAGGTGCTTCGGATTTCCCCCCACAGACATGCACTATTGGTGATTTGAATAAACTAAATTGTCTGTAGTGTATGAGTGTGTATGGGTGTTTCCCAATACAGGGTTGTGGCTGGAAAGACATCAGCTGCGTAAAAAACATATGCTGGTTTAGTTGGCGGTTCATTCTGCTCTTGCGATCTCTGAAATAGAGACAAAGCTGAAGGAAAATGAATGGATATATTTTCAAATATTTAAAAATGTCATTTATTGTGTGATGGCAAAGTCACATTATCAGTAGCCATTATGCTAGTGCTGTTCAATATTATTTTGTGAAAACCTTTTATATGATTTCTTGATGAATAGAATGTTAAATAAGATTTTTTTCGTTAAAGTTTTATTGTCATTTTTGATCAGTTGTGTCAGATGCTTCCTTGATGAAAAAAAGAACAAACAAGCTCTTAAATTGAAGGAAAAAACACAACAAAACTCCAGACTTGCGAATGCAAGCGTAGGCTTTTGATTTGCTTTGTGGAACAGAAAACAAGAAATTGAAAAAAGATTTAGTTTACTTTTTCATATCTGTTATGCTGTAATAGGACAGAAAAATATAGTTGTCCGTTTGACTTTGTGCTAAAGTCTTTTCAAGTCAGTGATGAATAGATGAAATTTAGGTCATCATTCAAAAACGTCTTGCCCTGTGCTATAGCTTTCAAATGAAAAATTGCACATTTCGACACATTGCGTCAGGTCGGACATCAAACATTGTTGGCTCTTGTGTTTCTTGGGACCAAATATCTTTGACGTCAAAAATGATATTTATGTCTTTTGCCTTTTTGAATTGTAGTCCAAAGGGAATCCATTCTTGGGACTGCAGAGCTATTTTTTTTTACATGATGGCATACCATAGAGCTAAACAGTGTCCCCTAGTGTCTAATTTTTTCGTTTTACTTTCTATTGATGTTATGGCTTTCAGAAAGATAGCATGTCTTTATTACAGCTTTAAAATATGAACCCCATGCCTATCTTCCATCTGTTTCTAGTCAAATAGTGACCCGGTCATATGCACAACTGAGTCATGCAGCACATTGTCTGTAATCGCCGTGCATTCTCTGACAATGTGGGCTATAATCAGTTTGATTTGTTCATTTGTTTCAAATGTTTTGCACCAATTTTCCACCCGCCAGAGACTCTTGGCCCTCCATATTTTCTCGTTGCGTTAGTAACTGCCTGTCACTCTCACATAACCTCTCAATTGCTGTTTTTGTTCTCAAGATAGCGGAACATTAAACCTGGGCTTCAATTTGCTGCTTGACAAGCCAGGCAGGTTTACAGACCTGAAACATGTTGCACAGTGTAGAATTGACTTATGTATCGAAAGCATAATAATCATAATGAAGCAATTTACAGAAAAATGCTTCACTTTTTCATTTGCCATTGACATTGAGATCATAGATAAGTTAGTTTAATGGTCTATATAAATAAAAGATTCATCAGCCACAAAGCAAAACCACATCCAACCTAATATATGGTGTTCATATATATATATATATATATATATATATATATATATATATATATATATGATATATACACATACACACACACACACACCAAAGACTGCACAACAAATTTTACAATAAAGACTATGCATTATCCATTTACATTTAATTTTTCAATTTCTTTTCCTGAATACAGTTAGAGTTTCCAAAAAAATGCTTTATTCTTCTTATCTATGGATATACATTTTATATATAATATTTGTGCTGACGGGTTGCGATTGGAAGAGCATCCGCCACATAAAACATGGCAGAGTAATTGGTGATTTATTCCACTATGGCAACCCCTAATAAATCAGCAAATCAGCCGAAGCAAAGTGATTGTATGTAGATGCAGTAGGGGTGTAATGGGTCACAGTTGATCCACTATTCATACGGATGATCACAACCCATGGCTTGGAACACACGTGATCCACAGATTAATATATATATTTTTTTAACTTGTCGATTAATCCTAAATTTTTAACGATCACAGAAAGAACGCCTCTTGCATCATTCAAATCACATGTATGGAAGCATTTAGACTTTTCTGTAAAATATAATGATGTTGGAGGAAGTTGTGGTAGGTTATTCGTAGGCCCACTCGGAATCTGCGCTCGCAGATTTTCCGCAGATTTCTGCATGTTTTTAGCCCACCATTAATTCTGTTTAGTTACTTTAGCAAATGTGTGTAAATCTATATTTGTTAATTTAAAAAAAAAAATAATAATTTCAGTAATATTATTGATGTGAAAATGTTCTTCCGATTTATGTACAATGCAGTTTGTACAGCATTATTTTCTGTCTTTTACTAGATATATTATATGGCAAACTTGCTTTATTTAAGATTTGCATTTTAAACATTAAATAAAAGTTAAAAATGATATTATTTTTTATATCATATATTAAAGTTTTAGTTATGATACTTCCAAAATAATAATGCAGAAATCAGAAGACTTTTACCAAAAGTTTCTGCAGAAATAGCAAAAAACATCCGCATATTCCGTCTGGCCCTATTCGGGATTTGGTTTCTTATGTTGTTAAAGCTGCTTTCTGTCACTACTTATTTAGCCTGCATTATTGCATTCAGTGTAAGCTGCACGGTGAATCATTAAAAGATCAGGATCTCAATAACAACACAGCACAAATCATAAATGATATTGATTTGCATATGTTTAATAATCCTTTGAATCACTGCATTCAAGTCTGTGTTTTAAAAATGCAAAAATCACGAAAGAAATTCAGTCTTTAGTCTTTTGAGTTGGTTATGAAGTTGCAAAGTCAAATAACACAGAAGTTCTGGGATAACTGTTTATAGTGTACATAAAACCACTGATGTTTATGGTCAAGATTAAAATCACTGTCATATGCTCAAAAACTAAAGTTTTAGACAGCAATTACATAATTTAACCAAAAGGTGGCCATCAAAAATATGCCACTGAATAAATCTTAAATGATCCATCTAGCAATGAAGTTTTATGAGTGAATAACTGAATCATTTATTGAAAATAAGGCAAAAGTAAATTTGGGTTGTACTAATTATAATGTTAGATTTATTCGTTTAGCATTATCAGCAACAGTAGTAGTAACCGTGAAATTTTCACAGTACTGAATATTTTACAAATTATTTTTATTCAGCAAATTATTTGTATTTTTTATGTTCTGCTTTTTAAAACCAAATGTATATTGCCGTACTGTTTTTGTAATAAATGGAAAACAAATTACATTAGTCTTCTCCCCTTCTTGGCTGATCCGAAAAATGGTCCGATCAGTAACTAAAAAAACCATAATGTTATCCAAACCATGAGATTTTGATATGTTACACCACTAAGAAACGAAATCATTCCAATCAACTTTAAATTTTAAATTATTTCTAAATAAAGCTATTTAGCTGAACTGGTGAAATTATGTTCATATCGCGATATAGATCGCAGAAAAACAAAACATTGCAGTGTCTGTTTATTCGAACATTTTGCAGCCCTATACGTCGCACACACATATCGATTAACATCATTAGTGTTAAGGCTGAATATAAGGTTGTTCTTCAATATTTAAACTTGAAAGAATTGACCGAATGCAAATTTACAACCCCCCATGCTCACACTTTAATGCTGGTGGGCAGATCTCTGAGATTGCAGTGCAGAGCATAGCGCAGTGGAAGAAAAATAAGGGCGCACTAATGTGGTTGGTCATCAAAGGGTTGTGGTAAACAGGGGAGCTTTTCTACAAATGATAGTCTACAGTCTTTGATAAAGGGAGTTAGGGGTCATGGCACTAAGCATATGATATACTCGCCTTAATGTGTGCACAAGGAGAGCTCTAGAGCCAGTGTTGCCCGTCCTTGCCATTGTGTGCGTGTGTGGATGCGCACAGCTGGACCCAAGGCCTGATAAAAATGCACAGCGGTAAATCCTTTCATGAGCTGGGTGACGGCGTGTTAAGACACGGGTGAGGGCTCTTAACGCGACTCTCGTGCTGTGAAACAGTGCTGGCAGGATGTGACATGCCAGTTCCTCCGGTTTGCATCATCATTCAGTCAGCCACAGCTATTCCTCCATTGCCATTAACATTCAGACAGAGAGAGAGAGGCGCCTGGTCCAGAGAAGGACTTCGGGATTGATGAGGTCGGACTGTTGCCCCTTGCAAATTCAATGAAGCTCTACTCTGGGAGCATTTGTTCAGCACACTCAGATGCCATTTTTTCAGCCTCTATCTGTCTTGGGGACGTTGAGTGTAATGTACTTTTGCCTTCTGTACTTTAGTTATTTACTAAATGTGGCCAGATGCACTTAAATATCAGTGGCGGCGTAATTATGACAGCCTTCTTCCTTCCAGATTGAAGGAAAAATCGCCTCTGCTTGAACCTTTTTTTGGTCTTTCGTGTACGCCACTGGACTCTCAAAAGTGCATTTGGCTTATTTTGATGTATGGCACTTTGACTAATAAGAGTTCCTCTGACTGTCCTTACAAACCTAAGCGGATTGCTTCTATTTTGAAAAATTCCTCAGAACCCCACCACAAAATAACCCAATTGACCAAGATCAAACATGAAAGATTATGCCTTTTTTTCTCTCCAGGAGACTTGGCCCCTCTCCACAACAATTTTAAGTGAGAGATGGGTCTACTGATTCCCATTTTCCCCATGCACCCCTTCTCTGTGCCCTTGGGAGATCAGACTCCTCGCATCCCATACACATCTGTATGCTCTTAGTTTTAATGCTCTGCATTGGTAGCTTCATTGTTCCCATGGATGACTTCATGAAGTTTAATAGTTTCAAGTTCAACTACTAAGCAACTGGTCTCGAATTACAGCTGTAGAGGGGAAAAAGGCACTTATTTCTACCTTTGCATCAGTGGATCGGGCTGCTTCCATAAAAGGATTCAATTAGGGCAATGCTGGCCTTTGATTTAATAATTCCAAGCTTTGAGGACATAATTAATTATGATGGGTAAATCATACTGGAGAGCGGGAACTGGATTAAGGAGCCAATTAAGATGCCACATCAACAGGGCTCACTGATTCATTAAAGGCCTTGTTTTTACGTGAGGGGAAAGGAAAGCGACAACGGCTTGATTTAACACTGTTGAAATGTTCATCTTTTTTAAAAGATGTCCTTAACTTGATTGCTATTTCAAAGGGTCTGCTCTTAGCTACATGATGCAAACTCAGTTTTTCAAAAGTCTTAAGTGTTACACTCAATGCAAAAAAATTGCTTGATGAAAAGTAGCACAAATAGCTTTAATATCAACAACCCTCACCTTTTCCTTCTTGAGTACTGTCTTTGTCTAGAAAGTTTTCCCTTTTTTGTGGGCACCCACACACTCGTCACCTCTTCACATTTGAAAGCAACACACAATCTCTTTTCTCTTCACCAGAGGGCAGCATGGCTCCACAGAAACACAGTCAGGGTGGATGTCGGGAGAAAGACTCTTTGTTGAGCACACGACATCTCCTTGACTTGTCATGGAATTGATAAACATATATCAAGGCTTCATTACAGAATATAACCTTCATTTAGCTAGGACAGCATCCTCACTGTGGTCATAAATGTTAATGTAATTTTGCATTCCAAAAAGAAAAAGCTTGTTTATTTGCATGTGTTAAATTTGTTGCTTTTGAATACAATGTCATATGTATTTGTGTACAGGAGGACATGAACTTAAACGAAGAGCGCAAGGCCCCTCTTCGAGGGAAGGACCTGAGCACCAAACGAGAGATGGTAGTCCAGTACATTTCTGCCACAGCCAAATCTGTAAGTGCACCACAACACTAGAGCGGCTAGTCTTAGAAAGAGAGAAACAGACAGAGGAGAGAGTGGGGATGAACCACATGACGAGACACTACGGAATAATGAGCTTAACCTGATCTGCTTTCTGCCTCTCTTGCTAAAGCCCCAAATCTTTGATTGCCGCCTCCTTTAGCTCCTTTTTTTATTATTTATTCTTATTTATTTATTTTCAATTTTTTCCCCCCATTTCACCTTTTTTTTTTCTTCCTCTGTGCTTATCAGGCTGCTTTTGTTGTATTGCACTCTCCAAAAGCTTCATATTGCCAGGGATCAAGTTTTCATTAGAATTTGGTACGCATCACTGTCTCTGCTCGGTAAGCTGAAACATGGCTCTTTCATCACCATAGATGAATAAAGTCTGGAACGCCACCGCCTCACAGGGTAATCCAAGGCTTTTGGGGGGCCAGTTCTCTTCATTCACTTTATGAAGTAGGTCCTGCCGAGGTTAGACTCCTTGTAAACATCCAGTTCATCTCATACAGCTCCTCCGGCCAGCCTTCGGCGTCCGTTTTCATTAGCTTTCCTCTCGGCTATGATAATTAACCAGCATTATTAATAATGATGATAATCAGAGATGATTGAATTCTGCAGCAGGCTCATTGTCGGCCCTGCGAGCTGGCATGCATTGTGAAATATGATTCACATATTAGTATTGTAGTCTCAAAGCGGGAAGCGGGGAGAGGGGGGCTCCTGTCTCCCTGCGCCCCTGTAGCCCCTCAGCACCACCAGAGGCACTCACCAGCAGCATGTCACTGTGGAGGCTGAACACCGCGCTCTGACAAGCAAGGAGGTGGTTGCAAACGTGTGCTCTGCATTCTAGGGAAGAGATGTGCTTTTATGTGATAAGAGATGTTTACCACAGGCACAACACACTTTTTCCCCTGTAATGCTCAAGTCTAGCACCCGGAGATCTCCTCCTCCTCCGTCTCCTATTTTAAACATTCAGCTCAAGCTACTAACCAAGCTGCATAGCCTATATCTGCATACTGCCAATTTTGATTGGAGTAGTGCAGATATTAAAGGGATAGTTCACCCCAAAATGACAATTCTTTCATCATTTACTCACGCTTTACTTGTTTCAAACCTTTTATGAGTATTTTTTCTTCTGTTGAACACACAATATATATTTTTTTGAATTGTGAAAATTAGTTTTTCCTACTATGTAAGTCAATGGTTACAGGTTTTCAACTTTCTTCACAATATCTTATTTTGTGTTTGACGAAAGAAAGAAACTCATCAGGTTTGGAACCACTTCAGGATGTCTACATTTTCAAAAGATTTGTTTTTTTGGTGAACTATTTTTTAATGCCTTGCACAAATTGCTAGCGATTTTTATTATATTGTTGAGTGACAGTGTTTTAGGGATGCAATGAATTACCGATTTCACTATAAACCGTGCTTTAAATAGTCGCAGTTTATTAATCATGAAGGCTTCTCAACACCAGGTCTCTGGTGGCACAAAGCGGCATGACACTCACGCTTTCCAGGGCCAATAATACTTTCTAGTTGAAAGTATGCCGTGAGTGCACAGCTAATCATGTGACAAGAACTAGACCAGTCAGCTTCATACTTTGTATGGACTATACACATTTTTACTCTAAAGAGAAAATATACAGCATAAAAAAATACAGCATATTGCTGATCAAAAGTGCCTTTCAGAGGTTCAGCAGCCTTTGACTACATTTGTTCTCTTTAAAAGGGATATGTAGCTTAGATTTACATTAGACAAATACCTTTTTTTCATTTTTTCTTTTTGTTATTAAATTCATTTTTCGGTCACTGATTTTTTTGCGTAAAATTATTTCTTGTTTAAATGCCAAAAACCTTTTTCACTTTTTTTTAGGTCCAAAGAGAAATGGACTATTGTTTGTTTTTTGTTATTATTATGTTGTGTCATATTTGGTATTTATTCATTCATTGGGATAAACCCCTTGAGATGTACCATCTAATTTTCAAGGGGGTCCCACAATTAATCACATAATAATAACACCTGATGACAAAACAAAACATAACTTACACAACATCCAAAAAACTTAACATATTTCTTGGTTACTGAGCAGCAATAAATAATACCTTAAAATATAAGGAGCTTTCATGTAACTTACCAAACTAGTGTTTTGAAATGAATGCATAGTAATCAGGATAACTGTAAAAAAACAAGAATATTTCGACCTCAGACTATAATTGTACAACCAAATCTGGAATTTTTGCATCCATACAGTGTTCTAAACATTTAATGTCAACATAAAACAGAGTATGCATCTGTTTAAAGTAATTTGACATTTTTGAGTGGGACCTAAAAGTGTCAAAGGGTTACTTCTATTTATTTAATTTGTTTGCATAATGAAAAAGGTAAGATTTTAAGCATAACATTTGGAAAAATTATCATTCAGGGTTTCAAGGATCATGTAAAAATATGAATGATAAAGATTTGACTTTATTCTATGGAGAGAAAAAAATGAAAGACTACTTGAAAATTCAGTTTCTCTGGTTTTATTGTTTTTTATTAGATATGGCTAAAATGTTTAAGTGAGAGTAAAATGTCAACGTTTTGTTTTAATATATAAAGAACCTCCTTCATAAATTGTCATAAGTTTACTGAATAAAACAAAATTACAACAAACATAACTACAAAGTATAAATGGCTGATCATTTCCAAGTAGTCTAATAGAAAAAAATTCCTAATCCAGTAAAACAGTGACAACCTTTTGCTGAAAGACATACTTTTTCTCTTTTTTTTTCCACCCCAGAAAATGTCACACTCATGAATTGTGCAGAAATAAACCTGGAACAGTTATTGAGAAAGCAAACAGGTCGATTTGGATTGCATGTTGACTTTAATAATGTTCTTAATTTTCACAGCTGTCGGAAGCATGAGATGATGGGATTTTTTTTTCTCTCACTTCACTAATTTGTAACCAAATCCTTCCAATACTGAGTTCCTCCAAGAAATCACTCTTAGACTCACCATGCAGTTCCTTTGTATGATTTATAGCTACCAAGAGTGTTACAGACTAATGCTTGCACACACATGCTGACACGCATCCAGAAAAAAAGTGGCTCCTGTGCTGTCGGTCTTGGGCTGCACTGGGTCAGTGTCCTCTCTTTGCTTGGTGAGTGGGAGTAATTAAGTGGTGGTCTGGCGATAGAGGAGGCCCGTGGTCTCCGCTTGAGCCGCTGCAGGTGTAATTTAGCAGGGGTGAGCCAGGCCAAGAGCAGACAGCATGGAGACGGCCTCTGCACACCTCCGCATTAATAACCCAAACCCGTCGAAATAAAAGAAGGGAGAGCGGAGTCCATCCATCCCACTTAATCTGCTGCTATCTCCCCGAGTGTGCCGATCTGCCTACAGTAGATTGTGTTTCGGCACACAGCTTTACAGAGCAAATATTAGTGGGAAAACAAACCCATCCGATCCACTCCTGTCGCAGCCTGCCTGCCTGTCTGTGTGCGGCAGACTCCCACAGCTCCAGCCTGGCAGGAGGGCAGTGCAATGAAATAAAAGAAGGACGGAAGAATAGAGAAGTTTCGCACTGGCGATGTCTGTCCGCTTTGATAGCTTCGATATTACTGCTTGTCTGACAGAAACTTACAGCTCCCGTGGTTCACAGCTCATTTCATTATTTACCGCCAACACCTTTTTTTCCCCTGACACATTTATGCATGCTTCTATTATGTTACATGGTCACACTTTTTTTTTGTTTGTTTGTTCACACTGAACGTTTCTAAACAGCTATTTGCCAAAGAAAACTAATGTATAATATAAATATTTAATACTAGAATTATCATTAAGTCCTTTGCATTGTTGTTTTTTTTTATTTGGAGACACAAGCACATTCTTTCCTAAGGCAGCCACTTGAGTCTTTCAGCATGCACTTGCTACACTTTCCAGGGGGTCTCAGTAGGAGGCTTTCAAATGAAGGCGCCAACTATAATGTGTTAAAAGAGAATGGTCCTTTTGCATATATATAGCTTTACGTTTCGCACTGAAATGGACAGTCGTGGTTTTATGATTATAAAGGAAAGCATTTAAAAAAATATATTTTCTTTTCACACAGTGCAATTTGACATTAAAATATGTTTATATGTTCAGCAAAAACATTAACTTTTTTTTCCGGTGATGTTTAATTGGTAAATATAATCTTAAGATGTTAAGAATTATGTATATATACAATTTTTAATAGGACGAATTGGCTAAAATAATTGTTGTGTTGAATACAGAAATATTAGGACTTTGGCATTAATAATCTGGGGAAACAATGGAGCTATAATATAGCATCTTGCACTTTACTGTAAGCAAAGCAATACGTTGCTTATTCATTTTTTTTCAGAAAGAAAATCGAATTTTACAAAAACTTGAAGAATACATCACTAGGAGTGCAATGGATCACAGGATTCATGGTTCAGATCATACTGTTTTTTTTTTATTAATTAGACCTGTTACACTACATGTGTAATTAGAAGTGCATATTTCATTGTCATCTATGATAAACGATTCACAGAGGACAAATCAAGGCAAAGGCAGTTTCTGCTTGACTAGTGTATTCATCATTGAACTCCACTGTGTTATAAATGTGATTTTATGTTTTTATTACAATAAGTTATCATTTTAAATGTTATACTGCATTAGTCAACATGATTTAAAGTAATGTTTTATATTTACTTTTAAGTTTTATGAAATTACCCATGGCAACTTTAATTTAATATGTAGCTTGGTATATTCACCACAGCTCTCAATAATATTTAGCTTTTGGCCCTTTATACAAAAAAGTTTGGGCATCCCTGGTTTAAACTAAACTCACACTTATTGTTTAAAATTTTAGACGTAAACGAATAAATCAAAAATGATAATTTTATGATCAATACAATATCACCTAAAAATAATTTTACAGTATTCACCTATATTATTTTGTCTGTTTTAACCCCCTAGTAAATATTTGTTAAGATTTTTTAGCCTCCCATTCAGCATATTTGAAGCTTGCACAACCTTTTCTTTTTTGTGATTTAACTGTTTTTAAAAATAAAATCTTAATTTCTACAACATTTTAACCCTAAATAGTAAATGGTATAGTAAATGCATGGAATTAATTTGGACATAATAAGCATGGACTTAAAACACAGCTTTTTCTTTCATAGAGCCATTTTAAAAATCATTTGTCATAATTTTGCTTAATATAAAAAAAGGCTAAACATTTTTTGATGCATGTAGCTGAGATTACAGAACATATAGCCACAGCTGTCAGCCGCCTACAGTGAAAACCAATGTCAACTCTACACTTTACAAACGTCCTTGACCATCACATTTAAAAAAAAAAAAAAAAAAAAAAGCTTTCTCTCTTTCAGTCTTTCACAGGTGTGTCTTTGTCCTCATGAGTGCCAAAGCATGTCTACAACTAACACCATCATTCATCTCAAACTCCACCGTTGTCTTGAAATGCTCTGACTTTGCTTTCCTCTTTCGCTTTTTTAATGAAATGGCTCATGAAAGGAATAGAATGTGTCTAGGCAGGGTCTTTGAGGGGAAAGGAAACAATGTCTTGCCAATGATGTTCATGTGAACATTGTCAATACTGTGGTATTGCACAGACACAGAAACTCAATTACAGGATAAGTCGTTGTAATCATTTATGACAGTTCCTGAGAGATGATCTGATCCTGTCTTGGATGCAGGAGCTAATAAATAAATAAATGAATAAATTTGTATCATTTGATGGTCATGAGATGTGCAGGGACGAGGATATAAATATCCATCTCCTGATGAGATGACATTTCTTCTGAAGTTTGTTTACAGGAGCTACTTCATAATAGAGCTGCTAATAATTAGCATATTACATGACTGCCTGATTCGGCATTACAACAATTACCATCATCCATTTTTTTTCCTACTCTTCATGCTCCTTAGGATTTGACAGCATTAATACCACAGTAAAGTGACAATGAGGTGTTGTTTGGTGAAATTTGTGTAAATTGATGTTAGCAGCAGCTTTTCCCCTCAGGCTCCTCCCTGACAGTTCTTCATGTGGTTTCAAGATAATGTCTGTTCTTTTGATCAGGCTGCAATAAAAATACAACCTTCATCAAACACGGCACAGTGCTAACAATATTTGGCAGCTATCCAGCACGTCTGGTGATAGCAGAAGCAGGTGACTTTTTGTTTTGGGTCAAAATCCAGTCCCTTAACTATTCATCTCAGCGTATTTGGCAGGAATGCGCAAAGTTGGACTGGAAAGTAGAGCTCTGTTGATCAAGAGGTTATGCTGTTAAAATTGCCTTTATTATAGTCATAAACCCTCACTTAAAAATGGGATCGTGGGAGTTTGTTAAAAACAAAGGACGGCTTTGTTAAAAAGAAAAAGATTGGATTTAGAAACTACCGCCCTCGGCTTTGTATCGCTGATAAAGTGAGAAGAGTGATAAATCTAGTTTAGAATTCTGCTCTCAAGTAAAAGTTCTCCTAGATATTCAGCCTAGTAATTGCCATTATGGCTTGGCCAAGAAAAAAAACGTGCTGACTTCATCGAGCTTTGAGCTTTGATGTGTAATTTGACAGCGGATAAAAACTACCAGTGACATTTGATTGATTTTTGGCCTATAGAGGCATTTTATAGGCCATCTGCTCATGAATAAAATACCACATTGGGGTTAATTTACTAAAAATCTAGTAGATTCTTGGAAATTTTCACTGAGTGCCGATCCCCTCTGGAATTTTGCATTGCCTGTCAAAAAATCTCTTTAATATTGAAACCGCTTGTCATGAAGCAAAGATTTGCGGCTGGGAAACAATAGATTGAGGCTGCATGTTGTTTCATATTCTTTAAAGCATGACATTTTCCATCAATCATTTCACCAGACATCTCTTTATTTCTCGGCAGTCATTATGTAAAGCCAACGAGCGACCAGAGAGCTGTTTTTAAAAACTCAATCGGCGATCGATTGATTGTGATCCTCTAATTCTAAGCAGTCATCAGAACGGCAGACATTGTCTTTAGTGTCCGTCTAAACCCTCTCTCTCTCCACCCTGTTAGGTTTTGTGTAACTCTCACCTGAGTAGGCAGTGCAGCAGAGAGGGCCAGTGTGCCAGTGATTTAAGTTTAAGCTCTAATACTACTGCAGGATAGTCCCGGAGAGATCCTGGCCTACTAATGATTGTGCTGTTTGTGTCTTTTTGCACATTAACTTCCCTCCGCTGACCGCTGCATGCAGATAACTGGGAGCAAAGTTGCGGTAAGTAGCACAATTATTTATTCGCTTTTTGTATGGTTGCCTTGCAATATCTCTGTGTCTTTGCGTTTCTTTCTCTTCCCTCTTTTTAAAATATCTACAGAAGTAATTTCTCTGGCTTTCAATTTCAATTTGGTTTCCAGCATTAGTGTAGTTTATTGGCTATAATTTGAAATCGTTCTGCTTTTTCCCTCCCTTCTCCCAATCCCTGCATGTAAATTGCACATTTGGAAAATATGAGTGATTTCTCAATTGTTCTCTCGGAGAACAAACTAGGACCGTTTTTTTGTGTTAGTTTAAGCAGTTCTTCTTTGAAATGGATCACTGCCTAACACATATTAGCATTTAAATATTGTAACACCAAGGATGAGCAATAGTTTTTAGGCAAATAATCATAATCTGTGATCTAATCTGTTTATTCTAATGTTCTGTATCTAAATGGGTTTCATTGTGTTCATTCTTCCCCCCAGACAGCGTACTGAGAATGTATCACTTAATTAGATTTTCCCACACACACACGTTCTGAGTTGATTGAACAGCGGAAAAGATATTAAGTGCGTCCCCCCCATCCTATAAATACGCTCCATTTTGTGGTGGGACGTTCTGCACAAGCCATTTGCAAAGCCATGCCTTTGTCCCAGTCACATTACAGCATGTCACTATTGTTTCTGAAATGTTCATAGCTGCTCATGTTGTTATTGTCACTTACTTTTGCCCCTCGCCCCCCACTTTCTCAAAAATGACGGTAATAATCTTTATAAATATATACTGTCGAGAAGATGGCAATGTTTCCTCATTTCACAGCTCCGTAATGCGGTAATTGCCGACTGGCTTCTACTATTCCTCGCGTAGTGCGGCCCCATAGCCCATATGAGGCTGCTTGTTATTTGTTTTATTTTATTTATTTAGAGGGGCTCCGTTATTGCCTCCGCAAGTGTCACTTGTCATTTAAAATGCAGTTTTATTGTGTTGCCGGAGCTATGAGAGAAGCCCGTAGATGTACGTGAGGAAGCTTGAAGATAAAGAAGCACAGGTAAATGTTGTTATTTACAATACAGCAATAAGCTGCTGCTGCAACAGGCCCATTTATTTTTGAAGCGAGATGGCCCACTCAATCAATGCTCTCACGCTGGTTGGCGTAGAATTTCGTGCCGAGCGATTTTTTTCTATAACCTGTCAGCAATAAAATGTGCTTGATTTGAAGCGTGTGGAAGTACGTTTTGAATGTTGCATTGCATCTCCAACCAGAGTTTGAAAGTTACTCTCTGGGAGCGTCTCTATCGAAGAACTGTCTGACGGTGTGCACCATGAGCAAGTCCTCTCGTTTAGAAGTTTCTCACAGTTCAGAGGTTGCTGTACTTCCTGCCTTTTCGTCTGGCTTCTGTGTGCACTTCCTGCAGAGGGGAGAGTATGAGGGCTGGTGGGGAGCCTGTCAGCTCTTTCATTCTCTTTGTTTCTGTTTCTCTCTTTCCCAATATCCCACCTTTATTAGGTTTTATTGTGGAAACTACGTTCCGCGTGGCCCTCTCGCTGAGCAGATTGCTATTTCCACGCTGTCAATGTGGTTTGGAGGCAGACCAACCTGCTTGAGCCACATCTCCCTCAGGGATGAAATCTCTCCGGCGCACCGTCTCGCCGGGCTCAAATTCGCCGGTCAGCGTGTCCACATACTGCTGAGTCACATGCACTTCGGTGGTTTATATCAGCGCAGCTGATGGTGACCCAAGGGGGCGTACAGCGCACTTGCTGCCTCTCCATGGTGTTCGATTGATCAGAGATGTTGGTGTCTTGATTGTCGGGCTAAGAATGATAGATCGTGTGTTGAAATGCCCACGTTTTTGATGAACCCCTCTGCGACAGAATGGAAGACCTCGACTCCCCGTTGCTTCAATAAAACACGAAAACCCAATCGCTGCTTGGCCCTGATGTCTGTTCCACCATTACCTGTTAAGGTCACATGACTTGACCTGCGAAGCCTCTCTAGACCTCAGGAGGAGATCAATAATCACACAGTCAGCACAGCAGTTAGGAAAGACTGCCTGTTTCCACAGAAACATGGCAGCACATACTGAGTTGAGGAAGAGAGGAACCACTGAGACCTCGGGGACTGGAGTCTGCTAGGGCTGTTAGAGTTCAGCTGCTCTCCGAGAATGCCTTGCATTGTCGGCGTGAGAATAATGGACAAAGCGTGTATTTTAGAAATCATTTGGCTGCTTTTCACATGGGACATAGACTTGGCCCTTTCTTGGGTGAAATGGCATGGATCTTTTCATCATGTTAAAGTGTGTTGTACTTAAATACTCTCTTTGGAACCAAAGGGGCTTGAAAAGCATATGTGAAAAAGAGCAAAACCCTGGTGAAGGAAAGATGACATTTTGCTATTGCTTTTATTTCACGAATGTTCTTTTTATAACTTAACAATGGTTTGGTCATTTAGTATCCAGTATTCCCATACAGTCTGATATGATGCTTATTTGAAATCAAGTCATGCTGGAAAGGTTTATTTGTATGTTCAAAGCATATCATCACCATCGCACAGTTGTAATAATGTACATGACAAACTTGGAACTTCATTTTTAAAAAATTCAGTTCAGTGTAATGGAAATGATACTGTTGAAGCATGATCGACTGAAGAGAAGCTCCACCAGCCCCAACCAAGCAAGCCAGAGGCGACAGTGGCCATAAACTAAAAATTGTCAAGCAAAGAAAATTGTAGGAGAAACCCGATGCTGGGGTGTCTCGTTCTTCTGTGGCTAGACCTTTTCCTTAGAGCTGCAGTCTGGCCCAAGCAACCAAATTTTAGAGCTGGTAGTTTTTGGTGCTAAAATATGACGGATGCAATATATGTAAAATAAAAATTACAATAAAACAAGCCAAGTCACATGTATATAATTTGAAATTATTGCACAAAGTGAGCGACGTGGTGGCACAGTAGGTAGCACTCTCGCTTCAGAAAGAAGGTCGCTGGTTCGAGTCTCGGCTGGGTCAGTTGGCATTTCTCTGGAGCTGCATGTTCTCCCTGCGTTTGCGTGAGTTTCCTCTGGGTGCTCCAGTTTCCCCTACAAGTCCAAAGACATGCGGTACAGGTGAATAGGGTAAACTAAATTGTCCGTAGTTTGTGAATAATAATATATGGGTGTTTCCCAGTGATGGGTTGCAGCTGGAAGGGCATCCACTGTGTAAAACATGCTGGATAAGTTGGCGGTTGATTCCGCTGTGGTGACCCCTGATTAATAAAGGGACTAAGCCGAAAGGAAAATGAATGAATGAATGCACAAAGTGATGGATGTTCTTTATTATGTACGTTCTTTATTATTTTGCAGAAGTAGTTTTAAATAATAAAAAAGCCATTAAGCCATCTCAAACCCACCTGTTTCACTTGAGCCTGGCTAATTTAGCAGTTAAGCTTGGAGTCCATATAAAGAATCGCATTTATCCCCTGTGAAGTTGTTTTTCCATCACAGTGTGTGTTAATGGTTTACATTAGTGCCCTTAAAATGGTCTTGTTTGGTGTGAGAATACAATTTGGCTACTAATTATGTCTTAATTTGTGTTTCTTTCTATTATTTTTCCTGTGCATTGCATTATGGGTAATGTTAAGGGTCCTATACTGGCGCTATGAGAGTTTTGTTGTCGAATTTTTTGAAGGCAGAACTGTTCTCCTATCACCTCCCCTCCCTCGCTTTTTTTTTTTTTTGTCTCCCTTTCGCTTCCGAATTCCCTGACAAATGAATAACCTTGGCATTTGTGTGTAGGCTCTACTTGTTTCATCAGTAGACTTTATATCCTGCATACTCCTGTTCCAAGGCTCATCTCTACCATAGCCATGCAGGCTTATTGTAAGTGCCTGTTTAAAGGCTTTTCTGCAGTAAGGGTGCACTGCGTCCTTCTTCGCTCGCTCCGTTCCTCATTGGCACTGGCCAGCATTTGTGGAGAGGGCTCTTTTTTTTTCACTGTGCTAAGTTTGAATGAAATCAAGGACAACACATACGCACTTACTACATCTCAAAATGAAAGGGTTCTGTTTCATATTAGCAATTAATGATGATTGTGTACTGGATGCTGAACTGATTTGAAAGGGCACACGTCCTTGATGCTTTAAAACATTTCCTATAGAAAAAAAAAAATAATAAATCCAATAAGCTGCTCATCGATTTTGTGGTTTTCAATTAGGATGATGGAACAGTGCTGAAAGAATACGGTTTATGATTTTGTCTCTCAGTTTGTTTATTTTATTTATTTTTACAGTTTTTATTATAAGAGCAAGGACACTGGCGATGTTTGTGATTTTAATAGTAGGCTTTATTAATCATTTATAATTGTTAATAAATATAATTCTCTCCAGGGATTTTTATTTAATTCTATTTATTCTATTTTATAGTGTAGCTGCTTTTATTATATTTTCTGTTTATTTTTTAGTAATTTGTTTTGTACATTGCTCAATTTATTTTAGGGCATATATATATATATATATATATATATATATATATATATATATATATATATATATATATATATATATATATTTTTTTTTTTTTTTAACTTAAATTTGTTTTATTTCCATGCCATATTTTAAATTGTTTCATTTATGAAGTGTTTCACATAGGTAAGTGGGTTTGACAAACCACTTGTAGAATCTCTCTCTCTCTTTTTCTGTCTCTCTCTCTTCTCTATTAAAAAAAAGCCTCTTCATTTAGCACTAAATTACTCTTACTTTAGCACCAACTGATAGTGTTTTCAAAAGCACCAACCGACAGTGTTTTCAAAAGCAATTTAGAAAAACACCTTATGGTGCCTCAAAAAAAAGGAACAGGAAAGGAAAAGGATTGTAGTTTTGTAAAGATAAAACAAATCCAAACAAACCTCTGAATCCATAGTGTAGTTGTTAAGTTCAATTCCAGGCTCGAGGTCCTTTGCCGACCCTTCCCCTCTCTCTGCCCCCCGAAGAAATAAGGTTTTTTAAAAAGTACCTTTGAGCATGTATTTTGCTCTCTCCATAAATG